TTCTCTTACCATTTAACATTTGCTATCTTACTATGTTTTTTATTTCAAATAATTATAATTCTTGGTAAAAGTTTTACATGAATCAGTTATACTATGCTTATATTATAAATATTACAAACATTATGGTGACATTTACTATAAAAAAGATATTCTTAACTATAATCTTTTTACTATGCCATTATAGTTCCAAATATCATACATTTTTCTCTCAGTGTAACTGTGGCGACTTGTAACATCTGCACAACAGGTTCTCTTCGCGTGACAGGTTCCATTCGCGCGCGAACCGACTCAAGGTAAAGAAAATAATAAAGAATTACGTACAATCTTGTCAGATTGTGAAGAGTCCAATGAAGTCTTCATTTTCGCGGAAGCCCGAAAGAAAAACATGATTTATTATCGAATACGTTTTCAACGGGATGTAAAGCTTTTCGCGAATAATACCGCGATAACGTATTCGTGTTGAGTTAGACTGTGACCCGTGATTGCAAAGTTCTATGAGTAAACAATAAGAAAGTGACAGACGTCATACCGTCAACAAGTTCGCGGAATTTTGAAGTCGGCGAAAGGAAAGGTCGAGTTCGTTGTCACGATCGTGACGTTTCGAGGAATCGTTTTTTTTTTTTCGGCTGTTATTATCGCACGGATCCGCGCGACTTCAGGCCGTATCGAGCCTGAAAAGCACCATCGAGAGGGACATCCGTTGTGCGGATTCGTGGAATTTGTCGACGTGCGTACGCTTAATTACCTTTCGTCGCTAACGAACGTAATTAAGCTAAGCCGATTACTTCGTCGGGCGGAACGCGAGGCATCATCACGCGGATTCCTGTGTAGCTGCGTGAGAAAAACCGGGAGAAATTGTCGACGACTGTTAAGCCGGCGAAAGGATAACAAAAAAAGACGGTCGCGCTTGTGGGAATAAAACCGCTCGCTCTTGCGATCTTTTTGCGGATTAAAAGGCACCTCCGTCTCCCGTGGCATACAGAGTTCGATAAATGTAGGCGCGCAGCGAGTTTTCCGGGACTTCGGCTTAATTGATCGGTTTTATTAATCGTTTCGAATAAATTCCCGCCGCTGTCGTCCGTGTTTATCCAATTTTAACGTCGAAGGCAAAGCGAGGTGAGCGTGTTCGCGCAA